GAATCCAGGCTGTAGCACTGGGCTAGCAGGACTCCGGTGAACCGGGCTGTAGCGGGCTAACAGGACTCTGGTATTCATCGCGTGACATTTCCCCGAAGGGACAGACACAGGAACGAAGAAGGACACATGCCGGCCAGCCTAAGTGTTCCGGAGCAGTAGCAAGCTACCATGGCTCGGTGGAAACACTAGGAGACATTTCCCGGTAAGAGAGGCTACTAAAGATAAACAACTAGATAGTCAGATCCCACACATACCAAGCATTTCAATAACATACACACAATATGCTCGATATGTGCAATACAACATGGCATCACAAAATGACTCTACGACTCAAGTAGTTTATTCAATAGGCTCCGAGGAGCGATACATTACAAACATGGGTCTCATGACCCAACAACCAGAGCATACAATTCAAAACACAAACGGAAGCTTAACATGTCTGAGTACAGACATTGATAAATGAAAAAGGCTGAGAAGCCTGACTATCTACCAGATCCTGCCGAGGGCACAAGATCGTAGCTGAGGTAACAAGCTAAACGTCGAAGTCCACGTGGAACTACTAGTGAGACTGAAGTCTCTCTGCAAAAACATAAATTAAGCAACGTGAGTACAAATGTACCCAGCAAGACTTACATCAGATCTATCTACATATGCATCATTATCAACAAAGGGGATGGTGGAGTTTGACTGCAGCAAGCCAGCTTTGACTCGGTGGCTATCCTGAACTACGACTGCAAGTAACTCTTTTGAGGTGGCGCACACGAGTCCACATATTCACCATATCAATACACCACTATGGATCCGCTCCAGTCTCCCTACGAGAACGCCATCCATAGCACTCACGCTTATCTTGCGTATTTTAGGGTATCCACTTTCACTTGTCTATGAACTATGCAATGGGGTCCAAGTTTCCATATCCGAGGAATCCGGCTATTCGAATAGATATTGATAACCCTGCAGGGGTGTACTTCTTCACACACGCTTTCGCCACTTATCGCCCTGTACACGTCATGTACCTCGGCAACCTTCAAGCGGAAGCCGGGCGAGGGAGTCGGCCACGACCTGACTAACCGAACAAGTCTCTAGTCCAGGTTTATCGCCTATTCGGGTTCCATCCGCAAGGAGATCCGGCCGGGGTGTCGCTTACGGCCCCAAACGATGTGTGCAGGGTTCCCAAGCCCACCAACCGGGTGCCACTTGGTACACCGGGCCACTGTGCCTAGTCTGTCCCAAGCCCACCTGTACCGGGTGCCACTTGGTAGACTACTAACACTACCTACAAACACCAGAAACTAGTTGCAACTCCTGGACAAAGATCATGTTGATTAATAAGTCGAGAGGGGTCGAGTTACCGGAACCCAATGTGTGGTAGTAGCTGTTCATGGATCACAAACACAGAACTCAGTTCCTGAGGACGGCTGCAATGAGACAACCCACCATGTACTCCTACATGGCCTCTCACCGCTACCTTTACCAAATCGTGTTCACACACTTAGCTCACACACAGTAGGACATGTTCACACGCCTCTGATTCATCCCCGATGAATCAGACCTGACTCAACTCTAAGCAATAGCAGGCATGACAACAAGCATGAATGAGTAGGCACATCAGGGCTCAAACAACTCCTACTCATGCTAGTGGGTTTCATCTATTTACTGTGGCAATGACAGGTCATGCAAAGGATAAAGGGGTTCAGCTACCGCAGCAAGTATCAAATATGTCGTTGTTGTCCTAATGCAGTAAAAGAGAGCAGGAGCGAGAGAGTGGGATTTTATCGGAATGAACAAGGGGGTTTTGCTTGCCTGGCACTTCTGAAGATAACATTGAGTCTTCATCAGTGTCAACGATCACATCATCGGTATCACGTCTATCGAGAGGGGACAAATACCGGCAACATAGAAGGGAACACAATCAATGCAATGCATAATATGATGCATGATCATGACATGGCAAAATGAATGTGTTTGAGCTAATGCAACTAGCAACAGATTAAATGAAGTTGGTTTGAATACAAGATTCAAATTTAAACTCCATATGTAATTATTCAAATGCCATTTAATTGATTTGTGCTAAACAGCAGCTATAAGTTGTTCTAACATGCATGAAAATGGTATAGATGGATTCCTTGAATTTTTCTGATAATTTTTCATATATAAATTATTTAATTTGGAGCTACGGTTGATTTACTATGAATTTTAGAAGTTCTAGGCATTTTCTGAAATCATAAATCATTTAAGAATTATTTAAATTCCAAAAAACATTTACTGCGTCAGCAGTGCGTCACCATGACGTCAGCAGGTCAACTGGGCACTCCAGGTCAAACCTGACGTGTGGGGGCCACACGACAGTGACACAGGAACTAAACAGGGTTTAGTTAATTCTTAACTAACGTAATTAGAAGGGCTGGGGCCCACAGTCAGCGGGTCAGTGGGTTAGCTAAAATTTAATTAGTACCTAAACCAAATTAGCAGGGCCTCGGGCCCACATGGCAGTGAAACAGTGGCTAAATAAATTAAAATAAACTAAACTAATTAACAGGGGGCTGGCCCCACCTGTCATCGACCCAGGGGGAGGTCAAACCCCTGGTCAGCGGGGTCAACTCGCCGGCGTTTAGCCGCCGGCGAGGCTAAACGCGGCGGTGCAGGTGCGGGTTTCACGTACAGGGCACCGTTCGGTGCGCCCTTTGGCTCTACGGAGAGCTGGCGCGATGGCGCGTCGGATGGTCGTGGTCTCCGGGCCTGGGGTGGCCGGAGTCGACGGCGGCGAGCTCGGTTGCGGCCGCCGGAGCTCGGGTGAGACACGGGCGACCACTAGGGGGCACGAGAGGGCGAGCTGCGGCAGGCAACGGGCTCGTGGAGACGTTCTGAGCACGATGGTGCACTCGGGTGGGAGCTCCAGTGGCTGCAGGTGACGGCGGCGACGAGGTCAGCGGCGGCCGGAGTTCGGCCGCGACGGAGCTATGGCCTAGAGCTCGCAAACGCGAGGGGAAAGAGAGGGGTTCTACACGGAGGCTCACCGCGAGGTCGATGAGCAGCTCGGGGGTCTCGGGGAGGCGTCGGAGACGGCGAATCGACAGCGGCGGTCCTCGGTGGCCGAGGAGGGGAAAAGCGCCGGGACGGCGCTTCGGGGCTTCTCCGGTCGCGTGAGCCGACGGAGAGGTCGAGGGAGGCACTGCGGAGCTCGGGAGCGCGTCGGGGAGGAGAGGGGGTGGCGGTGGCCGCGAGGGCAGCGAGGGTCAGCGACGGTGGCGCTCGGCCGGTTGTGTGCGAGAGGGACGGAGAAGGGGAGAGGCGATGGGAGAGGTCGAGGGGGTTCCAGGGGGTCGGGGCAGCGCCGAGAGGATGACGCGAGGCGTCGCGGTGTCCAGGCGATGCAGACGAGCAGGGTGGTGGCGTGGCGAGCTCGGGCGCGTGCGCCGAGTCCCTCCTCTGCCTACTGGCGCGAGGAGGAAGGCGACAGGGAGGAGGAGGTGGGCTGGGCCTGCCAGCTAGGCCGCCAGGTAGGTTTGGGCCGGGTGGGCTGACAGGTAAGCTGAGGTAAGTTCTCTCTCTCTGCTTTTATTTACTGTTTTCTATTTTTGTTCTGTTTTATTTAATTGGCACTGAATTTTAATTCAAACAGAATTTGAAAACAGTGCCAAAACTCCCCTGGATATTTTTAAGTCACTTAATGGACTTCTCCACATATACAAAAAATATCTCAGGTCATTTGAAAATATATTCATTATATATTATGAATATAACTCCAAATTCAAATAAAATATTGATTTAAAATCAGAGCCCAATAATTCCTTAGAAATGTCCCAAAATTTTGTTTTGATTTATAACTCTTGCCAAAATTGTCAGAGCTATTTCTAGGGCATTTTGGATTTACTGATTGCAATTTTAGGGTTTCTTGCCCCTCTTTATTTAGGGTTTTGAGGCTTCCAATTTTCCTCAGTTCAAATTTCAGAATTTAAACATGATGCACACACCAGGCAGCACCAGAAGCTAGGGATGTGACACCAGGCGACACGCAGTACTGGCCGGTGGGCCCTGCCGCCACTCCACCAGGCGGCAGCCCTGTACGTGACGCCCGATGTCTCTCTCGCATAGCTGGAGCCTGTTCGACGTGCAGCAATAGTGTGCGTGGTTGCACATGGAAGAAGCACAGGAAAAAAGAAACGATGCACGAAGGAGCGCAGTGTACGTAGTAAATATACAAGTGAAGTAGTGAGGAATGTGGATTTTTTTATTGCTGAGAGGGGTCTTTGAAAACGGAGAGAGCAATGGCTCACGCCCGGGGTTGCCGCCTGGTGTAGTGGCGGCAGAGCCCATCGGCCAGCACTGCGTCTCACCTGGCCACGGCGGCAGCGCCCACCGACCGATCCCGTTTCGTTGCGTTCCATGAGTGCCCCGAATCCTGTAACACAGCGTCTGCCGCCTGGTCCTGTGGTGGCAGGTGCTGCCGCCTCTCGGCGTGGCGGCAAGTGCCACGTGTCAGCTAGCGCACCTGCCACCATCACACATGTGATCTTTTTAGACAAAAAATCGGGATAAGGAAGCAGTGGCGGTGATGGAATTTTATGATTTGGGAGTAACCGTGTGGAGGAGAATCGCTTAAAATTAAACATCGGTTACGAAAGACGGAAGAGAAAGTGATGACTATTAACTTCGGTGAGCAGGACGGAAAAAACAAAAATGCTAGACGTATAAAAGATTACAGGATTTTATAGGCTCTTTTCATCTAGTAACCAATCATAAACTTGCCCCCTAATTTTCAGGAGGGTGGACCGTGTTTCTTATCTATTGACCAATCAAATTAACTCTCTTTATAAAACCTTGTAATTTTTTTTGTACGGTGTAGCGTTACTCCGGGAAAAATGCTGACATGGCCATCTGCCGCGTCAAAATCAGGAAACGGCCGGCCACTTTCCCCACCGCGCACACCTTCGCGCGACTGCCCTTACTGGAGTCAAGCCTCGTCGCCTCGACCCCGCTGACCCGTGGTCTTCTCCGCCATGGCGGATGCGACGAAGCCTCTCCACCCGGTCCTGCAGGCGGTTGACGACGGCAACCTCCGCCTCCTCAAAGGTACCAGCAACAACCAGCCCTTACTACTGCTCCTGCCCCTCCTGTCCCTAGTCCGTACCCTTAGGGTTCCTGATCGCCCATAGACGGCGGGCGTCGTGGCGGACGACGGCATCTGGTCGCGCGCGCTGGTTCTGGCGGCCATGAATGGGCGGCTGGACGTCTGCCGGTGCCTCGTCGAGGACCTCCGCGTCGATGTCAACCAGCGCACCTTCACAGGTTAATCCGGTTCCCCTCTCTTCCGCGTCAATTTCGCACCGCCTAGTAACTGATCAGGGGGCTTCCCCATGAATAAACCTTGTTTGGACCTTTATTTGTTTCCTGGCCTCCTGATGCTTATTTATTTGTTTGTTTATTTTGCAGGTGATACAGCTCTGGCCATTTCTGCAGCTTATGGGACAGCTGCTATCACAAAATATCTTCTAGATCGCGGCGCTGATCCAACTTTAGTTGGTGCCCTGTGGCCACCTCTTCATGGTGCTGCAATGAGTGGTAACCCCTCTTGTAATCTCCGCAGCTCTGGTCTCTTGAGCGTCCATTGCTCATGACTTCAAATGTTTATTTACTTAGTATAAGTTAGTATTGACATCCACTGACCAAGTTCAGACATATGATTTGGACGGTGGAACAAACAAGAAACACTGAGTTTATGTAGAACATCTATGAGGATTGAAATATGAAGTAAATTGGTTTCCAGTACTACGTTACCAAGTGTTATTAATCCGGTCTTGTTTGCTCGTAAGTTCATGGTTTTTTGCTACTGCCTATATTTAGATAGAAAACCAACGAGAAGTTAAAGTTCTAAACCATACCGCATTTGACAACGTGGTCCAGGACATGATCATTGGAACTGGTGGTTATCACATTTGAAGGCTTCTACATTTATTTTTATCTTTGCAAAATAAGCTTATCTTGCTGAATTTTCTACAAACTTTGTTTCTAGGAGAATGTGAAATACTAGAACTGCTGCTTTCAGCTGGAATTGATGTGGATTGTTTCGATTCTGTGTACGGGACCCCATTGCATGCTGCCGCTGCTGTTGGTGAAGATGGCGCGGTGAATATTTTGTTGGAGCATCATGCAGATGTAAGTAACCACTTTCTCGGGGTTCTCTCCTTGGCCGTGCAAAAGGAAATCCTAGGCCCTAAGCGACTGTGTCTCCACTCCGTAACTGTCATGCATTGGAATGAGAAATGGTAATATTGTGGTCTGTCAGTACTTGCACTCTATGTAAACCAAAAGTGTTTTTGTTGGCACAAAGCAAAACATATATACAATGTTTGACCATAAGCAATTCTCTTGAAAGTGAAACATGCTCATTTTCTCAGAACTGCTGTAAATACATGTCTATTTTCTATAGATAAATCAAGAATCCTTGCTTGTTTTACATTGATAAATGCCAATATATGTAACACACAATGGGCTTATTTTATTTCCTCTCTACTCTGTTTTTTGCAAGTGAAGAAATTGTTTTTTTTTACCTTCCACAGCCTGATAAGATTCTCAACCTTCATAGCACCCCGCTAAATCTGTCCATACTTTCCAAATCGCTGGAATGTGTGAAGCTACTCATTAAGGTCAGTAATCTTTCTTCATTTATGGAGCTTCCTTTAGTGTAGTCTATAGATCCAGCTTCATTTCTTGGTACGTACATTTTCTGCAGATGACATCTCAAGCACTTACTCAAATGAAACTATGATTTATTTACACAGGCTGGTGCTGATGTGAATAAAATTGACCATAATGGTTATACTTACCTGATGGTAGCAGCGGACATTTGCTTACCTGGTATCATGAAGTGCTTACTAGATGCTGGTGCTAACCCCGATATTCCTGATCCAGTGAGTCACTGAGTCTTCTATTGTTAACTCCTCTGTCTTCATGATCTGCTTTTAATGCATATTCTTTGTTGGTATTTGGCTGAATGTTTTTGCCTCAGTGGGGACATGTTAGGTTCTAGGTAGAGGCAAAATGAACGTAGAACCACATGTTTACCGTGTAGTGACTAGTGAGCACATCACCATTATAAGGTTTTGCACTGCTATCGTCAGTAGAGATCTGCTGCAGTTCTTCTAGGTGTTGAACTTTCCATTTGCTGCCCATGGAAGACTGGCATAGGGCTCTCTGCTCTTTGTTTTTGCAGGAATCCTTAGTAATCACCATCCTGTACAATTATCTCTTTGCGGAGTGCTTTGCAGAATTTTTATATATTTGTTTATTTGTGAATGAAATTCTCCAGCTTCATTGCCTTGTCAACTAGACACATAATGCTAATTTTTGCAAAGACTTCTATGTATGCTGTTGTGTTGATGGCATATTCTTTGCATTCTGTTTTGACATATTAATGCAATCTAAGAAACACATTTGTATGAGCTTTGGATTAATTTTTTTCTATTTTTACAGGAGTTAACCTTAGCTATATTTTCTGAATTTAGTGGAGAAGTATGGACAACACTGTTCCGTCATTTGTCCTTGCATTTTGATTTACTCAAAGCCCATCTAGCCATTTGGTTGATATTGTAGACTTTGAATCGTAACTATTAATTTTGAAATTCTTTGCTAGCACACTGCATATTGTATTGATAAAAGTCAAACATGAAATCAACCATCTCATTTACTCTTTGCAGTTTGGTACAACTGCAATTGAAATTGCTGCCCTCCGAGGCAGAAGGGATATGGTTGAGATGTTATTTCCTTTAGCTTCTACTATTTCAACGTTGCCGGATTGGAGTGTTGATGGAATTATTTGTCATGTGAAATCATGTGGTTTGCCGAAGGTATGTAGTCCCTTCTACACTCACTTACAGTTCCATAATACTCCCTCCGTCCGAAATTACTTGTCGCTCAAATGGATGTATCTAGTGCTAGATACATCCATTTGAGCGAGATACATCCATTTGAGCGACAAGTAATTTCGGACGTAGGGGTATGATGTCTCGGTCTTATATGACTTTGCTATTAGCCGGCGTGTTTTTGTGTGCGTTCGTTGGTGTTGGCTGTGTGCATCCTAGCTATGCAGAGGCTGGGTGTGTGCTCTTTGGGTTTGTATCCTCTTGATGCTCCTTTTTGAGCTAATAAAATACACCATTAATTTATTGAAAAGTAGTCTTCCATTCTTCTGCTGCTGTGCTCATGCAGTAATGTGTTCTAATCCTCTATATCAAAATAGCAAGCCTCCTAGCTCATTTCTCTCAACATACAAGTAAGGGTGGACATGGTCCGGTCCCGGTCCTAGCTGTCATTTGGACCGGTTGCTGGCGGACCGGACCGGACCGAGCAGGCGAGCGGTCCTGTTTTTAGGGACCGGGTCGGCGCCGAGGAAGCCTGAGCGAGACCGGATGGACCGGCCAACAACCACCAGCGTCGATGTGTGCGGGTGCAGCGGCGAGGTGGGCTACGTACACGACTGATATGACGAAGTGGATGACGTGCGCGAGAAATTAGCTAAGAACTGAAACTTCGGCGAAACCAACAAACTGAATTTTCTGAACCTGATGAAACTGAACCAACCTAGCTCTCTCTCTCTCCGTAACTACCAGTCCTAGTCTCTAGTGCATGATCGCACGAGCTTATCTCGATGAGTTTGTTACGGAGGTTGTTAGCGTAGTGGCCGCACCTGCGTGCTCCTCTTCTCTGTGCATTTGTAGCACTCGACAGATACATGAACATACGAGCTGTTTCTCTCCTGTTGCTCCTTCTTACACTGATGAAACTGACAAAACTGACGTGCGCGAGAAATCCCGACGAGCACAGAGGGACTCCTCGAACAGCAGCGTCAGCGTCACCTTCAGAGCGTTCGGATCGTGCCCAGTTATTCCTGGTCGTGCCGGCGAGGCGTTTGCCTACCTGGGGCAGCTGGTGGCAGGTGTACATGCTGTCGCCATGGCAGGAATTGGTGCCAGGTTTGGGGTCGACTCCATGTCGAGAACTTCAGATTGGCAGCGGTGCACGCACGACAGCGATGGCGAGCGGCGCCAAGTGGCTATGGCGCACTGGGAGGCGAGGAATGAATGAGAGGGGATGCTCCGGGACATGATGGTTCACACGGGGGCTGCCGGTGGCCACGACGACGAGGCACGGTGGCATGCGGTGAGTACGTTTTCTTGGTCCGACCGAGCGGCTCGGTTAAAGACCGGACCGGACTGACATTTTCTCTGGCCGAAAATTGCAGCCTGGACCGACCAGTTTTCCTACCGGTCCTGGACCGTACGGTCCGGTCCTTAACGGGCCACGAGCGGGCCGAAAAGCTTGCTCGTGCCGTCCACCCTTACATGCAAAGCATGCCACCTCATCATGCAACATGCACGGGAATAGGTCGGCCTCAACATGCAACCATGCATAGGAAAAAACCTGCTTCAAAATGCAAATATGCATGAGAATTTCCATTATATTACGCTATTTATATTTAATAAACATTTTCAATTATAAAATAATCAAACACAATAAGTTATATGTATTTTTTTTGTTTTAGTTCCCATACAACCAAATCTCATCGAAACGTATTGCAAAACATTCACGCAACAACGTGCAGGTATCATCTAGTGATATATATTCATAATAAAGGAAACATGTTATGGTAAGCGCCCCAGGTGGCCAGGTTTGAGGATGTTTTGATGTCATTGCTAGGGTAGATTCCAAGTGAAGCTTATTTTCTGTGTTTGTTCTGTATATATGTCTTGACCATTTTTTTTTGATCAGGATATACATCTATGTGAAAAGAAAAGAGCTGAACTGAAATTGCAAGCTACAGAGGCTTTTAAGAGAAAGGAACATATGATAGCGGTAGAGCTATATACTTGTGTAAGTCAGTGAGCCTAGATGATTATGATGGTTACGGTTTCAATTAAACACATGCTTGCAATTGCTGAAATGTATGCAAGAAAAGTAATAACCATTCTTGCTATGTACTTCACATTTTGAAGAGCCCTAAAAGGTTCAGTCCTAGTCAACTGTTCAGTGAAACAAAGCGCAGATTTGCATGGACTCTAGCTGCATGCTCTAGCAGTTGTTTTACATGTCTGTCCTCAAAATATGGTTTGGATTGTGCTTACAGTTGCTATTATCATCCAGCTATATTAGCAGCTGCACCTGATCTCCTTCTTTAGTATATATTCTAATCTTTATGCATAAACCCCTTACCCAAACTTCCAGTCAGTCGGAATAGCTAGTGGCTGATGATATTTTTTGAATACTTGTAAAAAAATTGGAGCTTCATGCAAAATGATAATAAAGTAACATGTATGTGGTTTTGTGGTCTTCCAGTAACTTGCAATCTTGCACATGTATATTGTATTTATTTATTAAAAATAACTTAATGGAAGGTGACCATGGCAGATTACTTACCTATATAAAAACCTGTGTATATTCTAGTAAGAGGAATCACGTGGCATGTGCACATCCAAAGGTATTCAAAATTCTGAAAGTGTCTATATTTAATTTGTAAGAAAATCAGTATATTTTTCCATGTATCTTTTGTGAAAATTCTGTAAAAAATATTGTATTTGATTTCATGAAAATGAACGGTTTCTCTCTGACTCGATCTGGATTATTGGAAATGTTGGGGTGTTAATGAAAATGTTGCTACTGTGTTATCTGTTATGTCAACTCCCTTGTAATAAAATCTGCATGTGATTGGTCTACTGTAGGCAATGAATTTTGAGCCAAGTGCAGAAGATCTTGCAATCCTCCTAGCAAATAGGAGTTTATGTCTGCTGCACTCGGGAAGAGGAAAAGACGCGCTCTCTGATGCTACTAGGTGCACAATGTTGCGACCTCTCTGGCCCAAAGGTTACTATCGACTAGGGGCAGCCTTAATGTTTCTAGAGGTAAAATGAGCAAATTAATTATGACCATTTGCTTTTTTGACCATGAAATTGATCATCCTCTGGTGTCTACTCATAGGACTATGAAGAAGCGTCTCGGGCTTTTGCGGATGGCTTGGAACTGGATCCTGCAAATGCTCTAAGGTAAAATTTTTTTGAAGCTAAGGTAATTGTTGCATGTGTTCATGTTGCAAGGAATCCTGTGCCGCCCCACCTGCTTGATCGCTGCGGTAAATTGATAAACTGTTTCTTATATAGATCGAAGTCCTTGTGGACTCCAAGTGTTGTTTCTGTTTCTTGATATGCATTTGAGTATACGGGGCGATGGTCTAAACTCGAGTATCACATGTATTTATGACGATCTAAGGTCTATTAAGAGTTTACTGTAGCTCTGGTTCTCGAATTCATGGAAGAACACCTCGTCCTGGTGCCCTGCGCATGCCTTTGTTATGACCAGTCTGCTGGAAAACGAGCCGTATAGATGTCTCACCCGCCCATTGCTTACCCCCGAAACATTCTTCGTCGCAGGGAAGCCCAAGAGGCAGTGAAAAACCCTCCTTGCACCGGAGAGCTGGGGTGCCTTAGCCCACTTGGGATCAGACGTTCCCGGTGAAGTTGAGGCTCTCTTCTGTTGCTATCTCCAGGGTATGCATGCCTGTTATTCTCTTTTGGAGCCGTCCCAAGAATGCAAATGTCTTGTGCTATTGCGGACCTCATGGGGTACTGACTGATGGTGTGGTGTAAATATGGCTGAATGCACTCGATCTGTAGCACTAGTATCTTGGTTCCCCTTTCACTCTTGACAAAATGTCAGACTGGTTGGTTATATCGCGCGTGAACCATTGCCCTCTCTACCTGTGAAATTCGCTTATCTTCCATTCCTAGATATCAGTTCGGGAGATATGCATCTGCTGGTGGGTAGTACATTGAGAACGAAAAGACGGTGCATATATACATACCTATCGAGGATAGAGGGAGGATTCTAGGCGAATTCAGCACATCTATTGCCATTGCATATTGCTGAGTGGTGAATTCAACTAGACAAGCTCCATATTAGATGCTTTCATCAGTGTCTTTGTTTCTATCGTGTTATTGCTCTTCGAGCCTACCTTGTAACATGTTGCAGTGTACTTTCGTAAGGACCTGTATCCGTATTAGTTTGACGCTCCTTGTACCTATTTCTCTAGAAAAATTAGTAGAACCAAAGTTAAATTAGGGCCTAATTAGTGGCATAAGAAGCGACGTTCGGGGAACCTGAGTAGTGTTGGGTGGCATGTAACAAGGTGGTAATCTTGGCACGTAATTAATTTATATTTTATGGACAAATTAATTAATATATAATGAAAACCATTTGTGAGGAAAGATACATGAATGCTTCAATGGGCGGGCTATTTTGAGCTAACACGTAGAGGTAGCTCGCGCGGTTGATTCTTACCAAGATGTACTTTCCACTTTTAGAATGGAACACATGATCCATACTTTTCTTTAGGAGAACTTCCATAAAATGCATGTATCAAAATTTAGAAATATTTGTGCCAATTTTTAGAATTTTCAGCACTTGGATGTTCAAAATGAACTGTAAAAACAATTTTGTAATATTAAAAAATAATTAAAGTTGAGATTTTTTGAAACTTGAACGTCCAGATTTTTGACTTTTGATATTTTTAACTTTCATTTTTTGAACTTTACGCAGGAAAGAGGAAAAGCTGGAAAATGCCACGCAGATGGGCTGGAATCGTGTGTGCACCCAACTGCTGCTGCACGTGCTTGCGTACCCCGTCCCCCACCACTGCCGCGTACGACAACGGCTTCCTGCGCCTTCCATGTTCCTGCCCCCCACCATGACGAGTGTGCCAAAAAGCACATCCAAATAACCCTATCCAGTGCGCTCCCATGCTTGAGTAGGGCTGCATTAAACTGTGGAGGAGTGGTTTCGTTCTCGAAGGTTCACGTGGTCAAGCTACCAAAAAAAACTCATTTACACACTTTTCCAACAAAAAACATGACAATATTTCTATATATCGAGAAATCTAACCACTAGTCGACTGGTGGTTAGCGGCAGGCACGTACGATCGCTCTCGTCTGTTTTTTTTCCTTCGATCGTTGTTTACGATCGCTCCTGCTCCCGCCGCTCCTGATCCCGAATCCGAGGGCAGGAGGAGTCGAACCTGGGATCTAACAGACCAAGCAGTATTAGAAATCTACCAGCTACCACCTAAACAAACTTTATGTTGTGATTTGATTCATGTTAGATATTTTTCATACCTTCATGTTGAGGCAGACTCTTCTACTACAGATCTGTTCGAGTGTTATTCTGTTGTCGTTTCTTTTTTCTTACAAACATTTTACCAAAAAATATACAAAACATACATTTTTATCAAAAATATATTAGAGATGTGAGTTGAGCTCATGATTTAATATAGAAGACTAGACTCTTGTACTCTTTTGTACATAGATGTGATCTGAGTTCATGGTCTTAACATGATAATTTATTCACCACAACCTTGATAACTTATGTACAAATATTGGGGAAACCTCGATCAGGTGAAAAACAATTTTTGAAACACACCCTAGCAACTCGTGTGAAAATAGCATGATAATATAAGTACCGTATACATGATAAGTTTGTTCCAGTGGGGGAGTGTTGTTTGACGATAATTTATGTGTAATTAGCATGGTAACTCACGCATAACTAACTTGATCACTTATATACAAACACCGTGATAACTTTTGTATAAACATTGTTATAGCGTGCTAGTGGTCCGACCCACAAAAACGACTTGTTTTTATCGAGATATAGATCTCATAACTTGATGAACAAATATTATGTTAACTTTGACCCAGAAAAAAGTTGCTTAAATATACTCCGGCATCTTCAGTGGTACGTAATACTCACGGTATTTTTGACCCGACAGAAAATATTGGTTAAATACACAACTTGATGACTTCAATATAAATAGCATGGAAATATGCGCACCATAGACCAGATAACTTAGGCAAAGACAATGTGATAAATTTGACCTGGGATTTTTCTTTCTTGAAATCATATCTTCAATTACTTATGTGTAAAATAATATGATAATATACGCACTGCTTACCTGATAACTTAGGTCCAAACACCACGGTAACTTTTATCCGGGGAAAAAAATGTTGAAGACACATCCGTTCTAAATTCTGTATAAATAGCATGGTAATATACGCCAACAAACCTGATAACTTAGGTACAAACACCCTGATAACTTTAATTTGTGGAAAAAAGGTTGTTTAAAATGCAACTCCGGTAACTTTTGTGTGCCCACAACGCTGATAACTTATGTACAAACACCACAATAACTTTTTACTTGGGCGAAAATATTTGTTGTGCGTGTGTTATCACGGTGTTTGTGCGTGAGTTATCAGGTTCATGCGTATAAATTATCATGTTCTTTACTGCGGTGCGTGAGTTATCAGATCTGTGGTGCATGGATTAGCATGTACAAAAGGAGTGAAAATTTGGTAAATAAAAAGGAAAGAAAGAAAAACAGCTTGTTTTTCTGGTCACGTATGTAGAAGTACAAATATTTATTGGCATTCTTTGTGATCACAACTTGAAACTGGACCAGATGGATATGACAGGTGATATTGAATCAAGAGGTAGTGGGTTTGAGTTCTACCTCTCACCACTTTTTACCATATTTTTTCTACCACGCGGGAGAAGCGGTGGGATGGGATCGAGGAGGGGAGAAGTGAATCGCGGGGATCGTTCGGATCTGATGCTAACGTCCAGTCGACTGGACGTTAGCACAGTCCTTCTATATATACATTGATTTTGTGCTAACATGTGCCACGTAGCCCGCACGGTTGATTCTTACAAAGGTGCACTTTTCACTTTTTGAATGGCGCACAAGATCCATACTTTTCTTTAGGGCAACTTTCATAAAATGCATGTATCGAAATTCAGAAAAATTTGTGGCAATTTTAAGAAGTTTGAACATTTGGATATTCAAAATGAACTTAAAAACATTTTGAACATTTGTATATTCAAAATGAACTTAAAAACATTTTGAATATTAAAAAGTATTAAAGTTGAATTTTTTCAAAACTTCAACTTTCAAAAATCTGACTTGTGATATTCTTAGCTTTCATTTTTTTAACTTTACACAAGAGAAAGGAAAGCTGGAAAATGCTACGCGGGTAGGCCCCCCTCTTGATCTGGCATTGTGTGTGTAGCCAACTGTTGCCGCACGTGCGTGCGTGCCCCTCCCCATCCCACTCCCGCGTACGACGACGGCTTCCGGTGCCTTCCGTGTTCCTCACCCCCACCATGACGAGTGTACCGCAAAAAATGTGCGTCCAAACAACCCTACCCAGTGTGCTCCCATGCTTGAGGGTGCATGGAGGAGTGGTTTCGTTCTCGAAGATTCACGTGGCCAAATTACCAAAAAAACTAATTTATACACTTTTTCCAAAAAAAACATGACAATATTTCTACATATAGATTGTTTTTGTGCTACCACGTGCCGGGTAGCCTGCACGATAGATTCTTACGAAGGTGTACTTTCCACTTTTTGAATGGCGCACATGATCCATACTTTTATTTGGGGACACTTTCATAAAATGCATGTATCAAAATTCAAGAAATTTTGTTTTAGGTTTTTGAACATTTGAATATTCAAAACAAACTTTAAAAAGGTTTTTAATGTTAAAACAGATTTAAAGTTGAGATTTTTTGAAACTTGAAAAAAATTCTGACTTGTGATATTTTTTAACTTTTATTTTTGTACTTTACACAAGAAAAGGGAAAGTTGAAAAATGCCACGCAGGTAGGCCCCACCTTTTTATTCGGAACTGCGTGTGTAGCCAACTACTGCCGCACGTGCTTGCATGCCCCCTCCCCCCACCACTTCCGCGTATGACGACAGCTTCATGCGCCTTCCACGTTCCTGGCCTCACCATGACGAGTGTGCCGCGAAAAAAGCGCGTGCAAATAACCCCATCCAGTGCACTCCCAGGCTTGACTGGGGCTGCATTCACGAAGTTTCACGTGATCAAGTTACCAAAAAACTTCATTTACAAACTTTTCCCCAAAAAGAAAACATCACTATATTTCTACATACACATTGATTTTGTGCTAAGATGTGCGAGGTAGTCCGCGCGGTCGATTCTTACAAAGCTGTACTTTCCACTTTTTGAATGGCGCACAAGACCGATACTTTTTCTTTACGACAACCTTCATAAAATGCATGTATCGAAATTCAGAAAGTTTTGTGGCAATTTTAATAATTTAGAACATTTTAATATTCAAAATGAACTTAAAAAACATTTTAAATATTTTTTAAAAAATAAAGTTGAGATTTTTCAAAACTTGAACTTTATAAAATTGGACTTGTGATCTTAACTTTCATTTTTTGAACTTAACACAAGAAAAAGGAAAGTTGGAAAAAGCTACCCGAGTAGGACCCCCTCTTGATCCGGCACTGTGTGTGTAGTCAGCTGTTTCCTCACGTGCTTGCGTGCCCCCCCATCACACTCCTGCGTACGATGACGGCTTCCAGCTCCTTCCACGTTCCTGGTCCCCACCATGATGAGTGTGCCGGAAAAAAGTGCGTCCAAACAACCCTACCAAGTGTGCTCCCATGCTTGACTGAGGGTGCGTGTAGGAGCGGTTTCGATCTCGAAGGTTCACGTGGCCGAATTACCAAAAAAATTAGTTTACACACTTTTTCCAAACAAACATTACAATATTTCTACATATACATTGATTTTGTGCTACCACATGCCGGTGTAGCCCGCACGGTCGATTCTTACCAAGGTGTACTTTCCACTTTTTTAATGGCGCACATGATCCATATTTTTCTTTGGGGACACTTTCATAAAATGCATGTGTCAAGATTCAGAATTTTTTATTTAGATTTTTGAACATTTGAATATTCAGAATGAACTTTAAAAACGTTTTTAATGTCAAAAAAATTTTAAAGTTGAGATTTTTCAAAACTTGAAAAAAATCGGACTTGTGATATTTTTTAACTTCTGCTTTTTGTACTTTACACAAGAAAAGGGAAAGTTGAAAATGCCACGTGGGAAGGCCCCACCTCTTCATCCAGTACCGCG